TGTAGTCCACGAAAGCTTATTCTCTAATAAATTTGTTAGTCTCTAAGGTGCCACAAGTACTCCTGTTCTTCTTTTTGCGGATACAGACTAACACGGCTGCTACTCTGAAACCTGTCATTGATGATTAACTGTTCTGTTCTTTCCCTCTGAAGCACCTGGCATTGACCACAGTTGGAAGACAGTATATTGGGCTAGATGGACCTTTGGTCTGATCCAGTATGGCCGTTCTTATGCAGGGCAATACTGAATCTGGCCCATTCACTTTGCTGCAGTTACTCCAGATTTACACCAGTGGGGGTGGAAGCAGAATCTGCCCCCAGGGAGTGATTTCTCTTCTTTCCTCCTGCAAATTGTTCATTTCATGCATCCTTCATTGTTGTCCAGAAGGGGGTTCTGTCTGGGCTGATGAGGAGCTTCAGGCAAGTTTCCAGGCCTCATTGACTTCGATTCTCCCTTCTGCCCATTTGCACTCTTCGCTGGCTTGGAAGAAACTTTGGGCCATACGAAACACTGGGGCTTGAAGGATTAGAAAGAGTGAGGGGAATGAATCTGAGTAAGTGATGTCCATTTCCAGGATGCAAAGGTGAATACTCACAGGACAGCTGGGCCTAGCTGGCTGAGAAAGGAATAGCAGCACTGATATATATGAATGGAGGATATCCAGAAAGATTAAGAAAGACAGGAACAAAAGCACTGTGCTGCTCAGAAGCATTTAAAAAACTATGGCTCCCAACATTTCAGGGAGTTTTGCATGGGCTCAAGGGTCCATCCATACAGAGCTCCTTATAGGATTGTATCCTATGCAGAGGAATCACTTCACTCACCACTGAAATGCAGCCACTTCTAGTGTGGACGCAGCAGCTGTTCAGCAACACACAGCAGCACTGCACAGTTGAAGGCAAGGAGTGAAGACCGTGCATCCACCTGAAACTTCAGGGTAGAATTTAGGGAGCAGAATGTAATTACCCTGATTTCAAATTGGACACTGGACAGCATTTGAACAAAGTTCAGTGGAATGGAATCTGTAATAGTCACAGAGGGATGAGGAGCTCATAAGAGATGGCACCTCTAACTCTACAGAGCTGCCTAATGTCCTGGATACCACAAGATTACTGCTCGCACAGCAGGTGGCTTTCCCTGAGGCCTGACCTTTGTGGCCATTAGAGCACTGTGCCTCCTACACCTTCACCTTTAAAAGATTGGTGTGTGTTGATTCCAACACTACTGATAAAGACTTTTTTCCAAAGGAGAGACAGATGATGTTCTCTGGAGCTAAGGGGGAAATCTTGTCCTTTGGAATCCAATGGGAGTTTTGCAGCTGGCATAATTTATACCGGGATTTTTGCGCAGGGTGACTGAAATAGTTATTTCATGGAAGGGGGGTTTGCAATGATCTCTTATCCCTACCTCCTAGAATATTTTGACTGACTTTGTAAGTGCATTATTTATCACTGGATAATAGTGATACAGGTTGGAACAACTGGCAAACTCTGCCCACAGCTGCAATGGCGCCCTTATCCTGTTTTTGGATCCATGTGTATGGACCCTTGCACCTCTGTGGGGCCCTGTTGACTTCACTGGGACATTGTCTGCATGAATCTGATTGTAGGATAAGGACTGTAGATGCTGTGCAAAGGAATGGTCTGATTTTACCCACTGTGGGCAATCTCATTGGCTTCAGCACTGTGCCCACTAATGTTTGTGGGACAGGACCCTAGAGCTGTGTTGTACACACCACTCACACCAGAGAATTAAACAGTAAGGATGAAATTCAGTGCTCAGCTGCACTAATGCAACTCTGCTGAGCCAGCTGCTGATCTCCGTGTTCTTTGTTTTTATGTTCTGTGTTTTTGTACCTGACATCAGTAGAGCTCTTCTGGATTTACACTTGAGATTGAATCCCGAGGGTTCCCGAATGCTCGCACCAGAGTTCAGACATAGTCCTAGCAGGTATTTCCCCTTGTTCTTGTCATGTATATCAATAAAACAGGACCAAGTGGTTTCATAGCCCTAAGCTCTCTTGGTAAGGTGGGAGGTAATTTTCTGTGAATTGGCTGGTCACTCAGACCAGCATTGCATCTTGCAATATTACGAGGCCTTTTAGCTCTTCTCCAGTTCTCGACAGTTAATCTATTTACAATCATGCTGGATTTCTGTTAGAACCTCTTGTGTGGCTCATTAACATTTCATAGCTCTTCCTTTTAATGGGGATGCATCACATATACTAAATATTGCTACAGTGGAATTGTTTGCATTTCAAATGGCCTATTCAATTGCCTATCGCGGGCCAGCTTGCAAAGCTGACCTGCTTTCACATGTCTGTTTCATCTGGCTCTGTGCCAACAGGCTGGAGCCTTCTCAGGTAGGGAAAGTTGGTTAAGGGAAGAAATCTGAGGCCTTAGGTAGCGTGGGATCTGTGCTGCATGTATGTTCCCCTGATATAGACACATCCCTGCATCACAGTGACCAGTTGTTATTTAATTACAGGCATTTCTGTGGTGGTCCTCACTGTAGTGTCTAAGCACTTCACACGAATGAGTGACTGAATCTCCACAATGTCCCTGCCACATAGGGCAGTATTATTCTCCCTTCCGTGTCCCTACAGCTGGGAAAGCTGAGACACTAAGCAGTTAAATAACGTGTTCAAGCTCATAGCTTGTGCCAGCACTGTGACTGGAACCCAGATCTCTTCAGTCTCAGTGTGCTGCCTTAATCACAAAAGCAAACCAATGTCCTCTCTTGCTGAGCATAGACCCAAACTGCCTTTTGAGACTGCTTAAGGCCAATCAGCCAGTAGGTTTCACTGTGGAGGAACACAAGGCTGATCCTTGGATGAACTTCAGCAATTCTTCTTCTCAGTTCAGTCGTCTCTGAAAAGAAAGACAGAGAGTTTGGTTTTCCTCCTTGGCCTGCCCCCGTGAGGTGCTGAGTATTGCCTGCAATAACATGTGGGTGCTCAGCACCTCTCAAGCTGAGCAAATAGTCACATGCCTGCAGCCAGATCAATGTTGGTGCAGCTGCACAAGTAGCAGAGAACAGAGGCCAGGATTTCACATCAATCATGCTGATTGGCAAGACATGGTGCTGTCTTTGGGACATCAGAACTGCCCTACAGCCACCGTTAGAATGATTTGCCCTTGCCATCCTGTGTGGTTTCTTCGCCACCTCCCCAACCTAGGGGTTTAAGGTAGGATAGTGGTTTCCTTTGTGGGATTGTCAGGGAAGTGAGCAGTTTTGCAGCAATGATGCAGCGAACATAAACAAGAGGCAAATCTATGCTCTGCCAGGTGTGTAAAACCTGAGTCGGGAAGCAGAAAAGTGGTGCTTCTGTAGTGCTACTGCTCCACTGTGGTTCAGACTCTGGACACTGAGGGCTGTGTCTGTGTATCTGTGTTTCAGGGCTGCATGCTATTTTCCCCTGGGGTGCTCCTCTGGAAATCTGTCGCACCTCCCCTATTGTATTTCCCTTTGAGGAAGATTTAGATCAGACCCTTTAACCAGGTCACTTTCTTTCCTGCAGGAGCAGAATCTGTGGAGCCCTGGGAGCTTGCTGTGTCTATCTCCAGGAAGCCTCCCAGGTCTGCAAGGGCCCGTTGCACTGGAAAGTATGGTACCAGGGAAACCAGGTCATCTTCAAGCAAAGCACAGTAGGGAGAGAGGGGGACAGAAACAGGGAATGGAGAGGCTGGGGGGACTGTATAGACAGAGAGAGTAAGTGGGGGGGGGTGAGTGAGAGAGAGGGATGTTTCTATTTTAAGACCTCTGGTCTATTCTCCACCCCTCCCCCACACAACACATTACATGCCTGCCAGATTGAGAAACCTGACCTGCCTTTTAAATAATCAAGAAGGGAGCAAGGCAGCCAGGCCTCTGCAGGGCTGGGGAAGGCGCGGGAGGCTGGTTTCAGTGGCAGCTGGGGTGGGGAACCTTTAATGAGTGACCCTGGCTTGAGTGTGAGGGGGGTTGCCCCCATGCTTGCTGACCGTTCCCTTCCCCCGAGTTTAGTAGGGACACTGGCTGAGTGGCACGTATGCCCATGAACGCTTGTGGGGTGAGGGAGTTGCCATGCTCAGAGTGTTAAGGGACAGCTAGTGGGGTTCGGAGCTCCAGCTGTGGCCTTGCTAATCCTCTGAGTCTGGGGAAGTTTTCTGTCCCTTGGGCAACAGATCAGGAGAGTGGTCCATGCAGGCCCCCAGCCTATGAGCACAGATGACCACTGGAGCATGTGGGAGTGAGGGCGTTTGCTTCCCTTCCCAATGCCCGGGGTAGGAATTCAGCTGGTTCTCCCATCTGCCTGACTTGAAAGCTTATCTGTAGCTGGACCCGGATGGCCTGAAAAGCTAGCTAGCAGGTGTGTTACTCAGCCTGATGGTCATACCCACTGGCTGGGTGGCAGGAATGTGGATCGAGGGTGAAAGGCACAGCTGGGCACGTCATGCCAATGACAACCCAGAAGGACTCATCGGGAGCACCAATATCTCATACATTTCATGTGAGTCACAACAGCTCAGCTACTCGCCACTAACCCCGCTATGTACGGGAGCTCGTGACAAGCTGCCTGTTTCATTACCCGGGGAAGGGTTACATTGAAACCACAGTGCTGGTGCCCCGAAAGGAGAGAGGGGAGTACCAGGTGCTTTGAGTCCAAAACCAAATATTCAGAGTTAAAATATGTATCTATCTATCTATCACCTTAGTTTTCTCCTATCTAGCTGTTTTGTCTTTTTGCAAATGCAAGTCCGTATGATTGACCTCAAGAGGGCAATAAGGGAAGTGGGGGGGGAAGCCAATAAAAATCCTAATCCTGGATGTTTCCCACAGTGAATGGTTGTAATCTCTGAGGCTCCTAGCCGGAGGGTGGGGGGGGGAGAGAAGGAGGGAGACTAGCCAGCCTGCAGTCATGCATTAATGATAATAATGGCTGTGTCTCTTTAACTGGGTTTGGTCTACGACGCTCTGTGTGTGTGTGTGTGTGCACGCATGCCAGCGAGTGCGTGTGAGACAGCTTGCATCTTTCAGATCGTGCTCTCTGGATACCAGCTCCGGGTTTGTTGGGGAGGAGGGGAAGTGTATTTCAGTCCCCTGAGATTGCTGTCTTGCTTGCTTGCTTTTTTTTTTTTTGGTTGGGACAAATTCTCTCCCACCCTTATTTTGCAAAACATCAGAGTGGCGGATTCTTCTCTGAAAGACTTGATCTAACGACGCTGTGTGGGAGGATCTAGCTCCCCGGTCCTGTGTCTGACCCCGGCTGGGGGCTGGTGTAGATCAGAGTGGGTGATTTGTTCTGTTTCTTCTCCTGATGCTGTTCTGCACATGAAAGGAGGAGCAGCTCCCGAGGAGGCATGGCATGAGCTGGAAGCAGCCGCTGGAGGTAAGGGCTGTATCTCGCTGCAGATCCTTTGGCACACAAAGCTCCCTATGTCCGTTTGTATTGATGTCCCTAGGAAAACATCCCACCCAGAGGGATGCGGCTCGGTGCTACAATGAGAAACAGGGAAGATACAATTATAGCCTTCCTTGATGATCATTGCCTCATAGAGCTTGGGTTCTATAATGGCAGGCAAGCATCACCTTTCTAGTAGAACTAGGCTCCATTCATTTCCATCCAATACACTGCTCTTTGCTGTGCCCCGTGCTGCTTCTCTGACTGGCTGGGGGAAATGCTTTGGTGTCAGCCTCTTTTTTCTCTGCATTGAATAGAAATGGTGGAAGCTGAATTCCCAGATGCCAGTGGTTTGCGGTTGATTTATTTATTTATTTATTCGCTCCATAGACCTGAGGCCGATGCTGTGATTCGTGTGGTTGGCAATGTGCTGAATGCTTCACTTTCTCAGCCCCCCGAGAGCATTTGGGTTAGCATCCTTTGGGGTGGAGTAGCTGGCTGGGCCAGTGGCTCAGAGCATGCTAGCAGGCATTCCCAGCTGAGGGGGTTTCTTTTGCTCCTCAGCACTGTTCAGGATCATTGTCCATTGTGCTGTTCCCTTCGGCCATGCTCTGGCTGTGAATTGCTCAAGCAATTCACAATGCTCAAGTGAACCAGAGAGAGTGGCAGCGAATCAACCTCCTGGCTGGCTGTTATGGACCCCACTACCTCACCCTGCCCACTGGTGTCAGGGAGGAGTGTGGGAGGTGTGATGGCCAAAGAGAAATCTGGGCCCAGAGGGAAGGCTGGGGCATTGCTGCTGGCTTTAGGCTGGAGGCCGGCTGGCTTGTGTGACTCCTGTAGGTGGAACGGGCTGTCAGGCCATAGAAATTTTAGGAAGTCTGTGCAGCTGGCCCATTGAAGCACCAGAAAGTTTTGATTGTGGGGAGGGGGCGCTGGAACAAACTCTGCGGAGGAGTGTAAGAGCAGAGAGATTGCTCAGGGACTCAGCCCCCTGCCTGGCTGTAGCACACTGAGTCAGAGGCTCGTCAGAGGCAGCATGGGAAGATGGAACCTTTCATAGAATATGAGGTTGGAAGGGACATCAGGAGGTCATCTAGTCAACCCCCTGCTCAAAGCAGGACCAATTCCCAACTAAATCATCCCAGCCAGGGCTTTATCAAGCCTGACCTTAAAAACTTCCAAGGAAGAAGATTCCACCACCTCCCTAGGTAACCCATTCCAGTGCTTCACCACCCTCCTACTGAAAAAGTTTTTCCTAATATCCAACCTAAACCTCCCCCGCTGCAACTTGAGACCATTACTCCTTGTTCTGTCATTTGGTACCACTGAGAACAGTCTAGATCCATACTCTTTGGAACCCCCTTTCAGGTAGTTGAAAGCAGCTATCAAATCCCCCCTCATTCTTCTCTTCTGCAGACTAAACAATCCCAGTTCCCTCAGCCTCTCCTCATAAGTCATTTGCTCCAGCCCCCTAATCATTTTTGTTGCCTTCCGCTGGACTCTTTCCAATTTTTCCACATCCTTCTTGTAGTGTAGGGCCCAAAACTGCACACAGTACTCCAGATGAGGCTTCACCAATGTCGAATAGAGGGGAATGATCACGTCCCTCGATCTGCTTGCAATGCCCCTACTTATACAAATGCCGTTAGCCTTCTTGGCTGCAGCAGGAGCTTTTGTGCCACTGGCCTGGGCATAACTTTTCACACTGAAAGGGTAGTGTAGAGAGAGAGAGAAAGACATAAGAACGGCTATATTGAATCAGACCAAAGGTCCATCTAGCCCAGTATCCTGTCTTCCGACAGTGGCCAATGCCAGGTGATTCAGAGGGAATGAACACAACAGCTAATCATCAAGTGATCCATCCCCTGTTGCCCATTCCCAGCGTCTGGCCAACAGAGGCCAGGGACACCATCCTGGCTAATAGCCATTGATGGACGTATCCTCCATGAATTTATTTAGTTCTTTTTTGAACCCTGTTATAGTCTTAGCCTTCACAACATCCTTTGGCAAAGAGTTCCACAGGTTGACCTTCATCCCCACGGCTCAAAGCCTGAGCCAGCCTTTCTTACTAATTCATCTCTGGACCCTTCCTGTGAGTGCAGATGGTTATTGCAGATTCATCCCATTGAAGGTGCTGGGTTTAACCCCCACAGGTTAAGGGGGGGAGGGATAGCTCAGTGGTTTGAGCATTGGCCTGCTAAACCCAGGGGTGTGAGTTCAATCCTTGA